GGCCAATGTGCATTGTTAAATTGGCCAATGTGCATTGTTAAATTGCAATGAGCCTTCTTAAATTGGCCAATGTGCATTGTTAAATTGACCAATGTGCATTCTTAAATTGGCCAATGTGCATTCTTAAATTGGCCAATGTGCATTCTTAAATTGGCCAATGTGTATTGTTAAATTGTCCAATGTGCATTCTCAAATTGGCCAATGTGCATTGTTAAATTGACCAATGTGCCTTCCTAAATTGGCCAATGTGCATTGTTAAATTGACCAATGAGCCTTCCTAAATTGGCCAATGTGCATTGTTAAATTTACCAATGAGCCTTCCTAAATTGGCCAATGTGCATTGTTAAATTGACCAATGTGCCTTCCTAAATTGGCCAATGTGCATTGTTAAATTGACCAATGTGCCTTCCTAAATTGGCCAATGTGCATTGTTAAATTGACCAATGTGCCTTCCTAAATTGACCAATGTGCCTTCTTAAATTGGCCAATGTGCATTCTTAAATTGGCCAATGTGCATTCTTAAATTGGCCATAGTGCTCTTTTAAATTGGCCAATGTGTATTTTGAAATTGTCCAATGTGCATTGTTAAATTGTCCAATGTGCATTCTCAAATTGGACAATGTGCATTGTTAAATTGGCCAATGTGCCTTCCTAAATTGGCCAATGTGCATTCTTAAATTGGTCATAGTGCTCTTTTAAATTGGCCAATGTGTATTTTGAAATTGTCCAATGTGCATTGTTAAATTGGCCAATGTGCATTGTGAAATTGTCCAATGTGCATTGTTAAATTGGCCAATGTGCATTGTTAAATTGTCCAATGTGCATTGTTAAATTGTCCAATGTGCATTCTCAAATTGGCCAATGTGCATTCTCAAATTGGCCAATGTGCATTCTCAAATTGGCCAATGTGCATTCTCAAATTGGCCAATGTGCCTTCCTAAATTGGCCAATGTGCATTGTTAAATTGACCAATGAGCCTTTCTAAATTGGCCAATGTGCATTGTTAAATTGACCAATGAGCCTTCCTAAATTGGCCAATGTGCATTGTTAAATTGACCAATGTGCCTTCCTAAATTGGCCAATGTGCATTGTTAAATTGACCAATGTGCCTTCCTAAATTGGCCAATGTGCATTCTTAAATTGGCCATAGTGCTCTTTTAAATTGGCCAATGTGTATTTTGAAATTGTCCAATGTGCATTGTTAAATTGTCCAATGTGCATTCTCAAATTGGACAATGTGCATTGTTAAATTGGCCAATGTGCCTTCCTAAATTGGCCAATGTGCATTCTTAAATTGGTCATAGTGCTCTTTTAAATTGGCCAATGTGTATTTTGAAATTGTCCAATGTGCATTGTTAAATTGGCCAATGTGCATTGTGAAATTGTCCAATGTGCATTGTTAAATTGGCCAATGTGCATTGTTAAATTGTCCAATGTGCATTGTTAAATTGTCCAATGTGCATTCTCAAATTGGCCAATGTGCATTCTCAAATTGGCCAATGTGCATTCTCAAATTGGCCAATGTGCCTTCCTAAATTGGCCAATGTGCATTGTTAAATTGACCAATGAGCCTTTCTAAATTGGCCAATGTGCATTGTTAAATTGACCAATGAGCCTTCCTAAATTGGCCAATGTGCATTGTTAAATTGACCAATGTGCCTTCCTAAATTGGCCAATGTGCATTGTTAAATTGACCAATGTGCCTTCCTAAATTGGCCAATGTGCATTGTTAAATTGACCAATGTGCCTTCCTAAATTGGCCAATGTGCATTGTTAAATTGACCAATGTGCCTTGCTAAATTGCAATGAGCCTTCTTAAATTGGCCAATGTGCATTGTTAAATTGGCCAATGTGCATTCTTGAATTGGCCAAAGTGCCTTCCTAAATTGGACAAAGTGCCTTCCTAAATTGGCCAACATCTCTCATCACCCTTCCAATAATGTCTTCACATTTATAACACTTGTGAACACATTCCTATGGGTTTTACAGATGATTGAATTATATATTGTTTTGCTGCCAGATGTTTTATATTTGTTATTCCAGGCATTTGAATGTGTACTTTCTGGTATCAAACCCTACTATCTTCTACCAGACAGTAAATGGATGCCTCAAGCTAAACAGAAATTGATCGAGGTGGTATCGGACAAGATCATGTTTGCCAAGGTTAATAACTTTTATCACAAAGCTTTGGTTTTTAGACATCACCCTGTGCACCCACAGTCTGTTTTCCTGAATCTCTGAATATACACGATATAATATGTTCCATATGGGTTGTAGTTGTTGACTCTTTTGTTTTCTTGTGGTGACAATAACTCGAACAGGTTTTATCTAATCTCATTTTAAACTTGATATGTTCTTATTATTGCAGTGCAACATTCATGTGGCCATCCATATTACTTTCTTTCTCAATCTCTTCTTTCACAGATCTATTCTGTAGTCAGAAACTGTCTTAGAATTGAGTTATTTGACACCACCCGCAACCCACAGGTCAATATTAATGAGTTGATGATTAAACTGGAGTTTGCTGAAAAGTGTGAAGAGCCTTATAGCTCTAGGGTAAGTTTCATTGTTGTCTAATTGATGATGATGATACATCGTGTCATTGTTTATTACAGATGTGTGTTACATTTCAATGATGATTTTATATTTTCAGGTAAATCATGAACAGAGGGAAGAAGCTAGTATTGAGACGAGCATTGATGAACAGTTGGTTGAAATCCCACAAGAAACTGTATTGAGAGTTATACAGCAAGGTAGAAGAAAGGGAAGGGTAATGATGTTACAAATTTATTCAGGAGGATGAAGAAGATTTGCTGTTATTGATTGACATTGTGAAGTAAAGTTAAATTTCAAAGCAATTTGGTAAAGGCCAATAAAATGTATCCTACAGGGACCAAGAAACTGCATAATTTTGTTTTGATTGGAATTTTTCTATTTTTGTTGATCTTGAATATGGTGTAGTAATCATTTGTGAACATTGTGAAAATCTTAAATTAACATTCATTGCTTATGCTTATGTGTATCTATTTATTCAATCATATTAGTTGTTTGCCATCATGATTATAAAAATAATAATGGTGTATCTTTCTCTGTACAGGTATTTCTACACGGTCCATTTAGTCCTTATGAAATGAACTTCTACCCAATGACTCAGGTTGGCAGATTCAGGTAGGTAATATCTACATTGCAGTAAATAGGACAAGTAGTAGTGCTCTTGTAGACATACTGTCCAGTCAGTTTCCTGCAGAGCTCAGCTAACACTTAGGAATTGAGGAAATGCTTGTTAGCTGTCAACATGGACACTTACCGGGGGTTAGTCGACTCTCATTGCAGTTCGAAAACAAGAACATTTATGTGTGTATTATATCTTAGACATGCCTGGACCGATTAAATTCAAACTTCACACATACATTATACATAATATTATGCATATGCACATCAATTGTTTCACCATCTGATTCAAGATGGCCGAATTGCAGTCATTTTTGTACTGAAAAATCATCAAAATCAAGCATTTCTGGCAATTCCGGAACCGGATCTGACTAGTATATGATTTGAACTTTGTATTTGGGGCAGCCATCCCGAAAGGTCCTGTTGTATTTGTTATTTCACAAGGCCACTCCTGTCAGCCAGTTTTCTTTGTCTGCATTGTGCCTCAAAACCACAGTTGCCACAGTGTCGGGGTACAAATGTGACACTCTCAGTCACCCAGCCTGGTTGTTTGCCATCTCTTGTGTGAGTTTTCTCACACGTACATGCATTATCAGTAGTTGATGGTGCCATCTGTACAATGTAAATTGCTTCACACTCAGGGCTCTGAAAAAAGCCTACTACATTTAAAAAAGTAGTACTTTCTGAGCCGTTCATGAAATCTTGAAACATAGTCATATTCTATTTTGAAGGAAGTTGAAATACAGTATGATTACCAATCAAGCACATGGCAAAAATGAATGAGAAAACATTTATGAACTGTACTTGAATATTTGCATTCAAAAACTTCCAATAGCATATATTTGCATGTCACAGCAAATTTATATTCCCTGTAGATATTGTTTCACAAAAATATGTTATTATGGCTACAATTTATTTGCATTTGCTACATTACACCAACAAATTTTCATGGCAACATAAAAATGCATAGTTTAGTTCTAGTTTTGGTAGAGCCCCTCCAGGACCAGTTTGATTTTGGTCACTTCCCTAAAACTAGTAAATGATATATCTGAAGACAGATGTATATTTTGTAGGAATGCATGACTGGTAATGGATGTTTCAGAATAGTTAGCTAACTGCTAATAGATGAGTTATAGTGGCATCACTCTGTGCAAGAAAGGGGGTTTGATTTCTGGCCTGCAGAATCAGCATTTTGATGAGCTACTGAATGTTTACATGGTAAAATCTCCCATGCAGACAAAACGAGAACGTTTTTTACACCAGAGCCTGCAAGTTTGTAATGATAAAACTTGAAAATTATATCATTTTACTCTATTTGATCAGATCTACACGAGTGGAACCTGGAAGTGTTAATTCTGTTGCCTTGAATTCTGAGCCTCAGGACAAGCATGAAAGAATGATGGTTTCGGCATTGGTCAGTGTTAACAGTTCAGGTACTGCTTTGATGGCAAGAGATACATCATTGATGCCTAATATACATGGCTTGGCTGCAATTGTCTCTATGCTGTTTGCACCAGCTATTGAACTCAGGTAGGTTGTCACATTGGTGTTGAGTTTGCCGCATGTTACCACATCCAGTCATGTGAAACTGATATTCTGTACACAAGTATAGAATCATAAAAATGTAGAGAAAATATAAAACCACTACAAAGAAAATGGATTATATCAAGCATTAAAAAAGATAAATTAAAAATAAAAAAAAAGGACAGGAGTACCCGACTTGGTTTCCATAGAAACTTGTTGATATTCTCAGTGTGAAACCCTGCTATTCTGACAGCCATTGAGAATTGAAAATTGCTCAAAAGACATAGAAATAAGCTTTTTCTACAGCCTTTCAAACAGAATAGTATTTTGATAATTTTGATGTTTTGAAGAAACATCATAATTTACTGTCAAGTTTCTTGTTTATTCACCAAGTAGCATGCAATTTAGAATCAGTTAGCTGATGGACACAATATAATAGTGAGTGACATCAGAAAACATTGAGTATCATTTCTCCACATGTAGGACTGATCCCCAGAAGCGACGCTACACTGGTGTACTCTGTGGCCTTGGATGGGATCCTGACAGCAATGGGGCAGCATTACCCGATCATGATATGGAAATTACGTTTGATGCCAACATTACAACTGATGATATTAGCATGGTAAGTACAAAGCACAAAATAAGACTGAATGGTTTAGTGTTATCATGAAAACCTCCATTGTCTTGATACATCCCAATAATTCCTCATTATCTCTGTGATGCGTCTTCATGCTCCACTATGTGGCTTGTGACAAGGTATTGGCTTATCTTTACTGATACCATTTGATCAAAATGTTTTATTATCATATATGGGTCATGTGACCTCATTAAAAACATATCTGGAGTCTGTTGCAAATATAGATGTTCATGGGGATCTCTGATAGCTTTCTTATTTTTGCAGATTAATGGTGTTCGCATGGCAATTAATATAGCAGTAGGGAGTGAGGATGCAATTGCTGAATGGGGACCGGCAGCTATCTTCAGAATACAGAAATCAGCCAGAGAAAAATTATTAAGGTACGTCAAAACAAATGTATAGCCTGGATCTGATATGAAAATGGTCATTTTGATTTCAGCTATACTGTTGTAGATCGATAACATTCAAACACACATAATTCGTCATGAGACATGTATGCATATTCCATTTACATTGCATCTTATCCAAATACACTGTTTTGATGGGGCTCTTATCATGCATTTTGTTATGGTATCACATAACTTATGTCCACATCATCTATTGATGAGGTTTATTATTACTGAATCATGGCATAAATTAATCTGTTCTTGTGTGGCATACCCTTTCAATACTCATTGTAGAAATTAATGTTGTTTGTAAAACACTCTGACTAGAGGTATGAAGTTGCTCACTTTGTGCACATAATGTAATGTTCTCTTGTTCTCAGGTTGATTATGAAACGAAGAGAGCTGGTAACACCGTACAACTATGAAAGACCTTATAGATGGAATATGGTAAGTGATTGCAGGTATCCTAGACAATAAGGAAACATAATTTATATTTTGGCGGACATCTGGTCGTTTTAACCGCTTGGCAACCATCACGGTGAGAATAAAAGTTAAAAACTCTCGAAAAACTGTATCTTTGGGCTAGTTGCTGATACTCTTCTAAACAATGTAACAAGATTACCCTACATGTGCAACATGTATAAATTTGGTTGTGCATGATTGTTTATTCATTGGCTCTTTGACTGGCGTTACACAGCAGCTAGGACAGAGCCCATAGAAGGACATGGTACAGTGGTGCGTATCTTAGCAACGTAAAATGTTCTGTAACGTAGCTCCGCCCCTGAGAATAGGAAGATATACCTTTTTAGTTTGTTATGAATTGGTTAATCCACTATTTTTGGTGTGGACTTCTGTTTTGGTACACACTTTGCTGAAGTCATGTGACATAACATGAGATGTTCGATCAAATAGTATGCTGTTTAGAACTGTTAGTCAAAGAATTATGAATACTAATTTAAATTTGATTTATTCAAAAGGTAAACCCGGATGATATTCTGCCCCATGAATTGGAAGGCACCAAAGCTGATTGTCCAGTGTTGTATCAGTTGTTCGATGCCATAGCTGTCTCTGGAGACTTGGAAGCGTCTGAAGAAGATAGTGACAGAAGAGAAAAGATGATTGCCCATTTAAGGGATCTCAAAGAGAGAGCTGGGAGGTGATTGGCATTTTATATTTGAATTGACATCTATAATGTGTCAACACTTTTATAGTTGTGATGATTATGGTGAATAATTTGTAAATTTGGTCAACTAAGACTAGCCATTATTTTCACAGCCAGCTTGAGAACTCGCTTGTTATTTGATGAAATTTGAATTTGCCTTTACAAAAAGCAATCTAACTGATGATTGTACAATATTATTATTGTAATTTATTGATTTAAGTAAATAGAGTATCCATAAATAGATTTGAATGCACAGAATATGAATACCATATTTGCTCTATTAGTAGCGCATGTACTAATATGTAAATGACAGGTGTGTATCTATGGTCAAAAAAGTATAGGGTCCAGTATCCAGTAAGCCATCAATTTTTGGTTTATGTAAGCTTATTTTGTAGATACACTTCTAATAGAGTAAATATGGTAAATATAACATGTAAAAGTTATTATTAGAATTTCATCAAAACGCAAAATGTAATGTTGTCGGCAGGGATGGTTGCACTCACTACTTGATCCACTATGACCTTGCGAGAATATGATTTAAATCTAGCTTTGTATAAAATGAATGTCAGTGTTCGTAATGAATATGTTGGAACCAGAAGTTTGCATTTGAGACCAAGGTTATAAAATTGTGTTGAGTACCCAGGGTACTCAGTTCCAGCGTACCCAGGGTACTCAGTTCCAGCGTACCCAGGGTACTCAGTTCCAGCGTACCCAAGCACCCTCTTGAAAAAGTATGCAAATGACCCGTTTATTTGACCATGTGCCAGATTGAGGGAAAAATGTGCAAAGTTAGTTGCTTTGTCATTGATTTGAACAACAGTTTTACAATGAAAAAACAGAAATGGTCATGAAAAATACACAAAATTGCTGTATACAATACATATGCATGTATTAATTAAATTTTCCGCAAATTTGAGGGCGGGGGGGCACATTCATGTGATGCATATTAAGGAATCACATTTTTGATGGGTTTTTCATTGAACCTGTACATTACTCAAGTTTTTCTAAAATAACTGATTTACAAGCAACAAAAAAAGTGAACTTTTATAAAAAAAAAATATAAAGTAGTTTATAAATGCAGGTGATTAAATAACTATAGGAAAAGTTGAATAATTTCCAGTACCGGTATATCCAGATTTAGATGTATTTGGATGTGTATCTGCTTTCCCTGATCTGACAATAGCCATACATAGATATCAATTAACTAAATTATTCTTTTTCATTTATTCAGATCTATTGCATCAGACCCTGTCTACTGTCAACTCTGTGAAGCCCTGCTTCATTCACCAAAAGATTTACTTCTACATATGGAAACAGAGAAACATCAAACCAAAGAAAGACATGTGTACCATCCACAATGCTTTTAAAAACCCATCTCATATAAATTATACCATAAATCACAATACTGTGTTTTGTTAATTGCAGGTACCGATAGCATTTCTTTTAACACTGAATGTGTTACAATGGTAATGCATTAATATTTTCTTGAAGCTGGGTTGTAGGATAAATTTACTTTGTGCATTTTTTTTCATTATTTGATCATTCATTTGCGAAATATCTTGTAACAATGAAAATAGAAGAAGTTGTTGTCAGGTATTTAGTCATCCTGTATTACTGGAATTGTCACAGGTGAATTTATTAATAGATGATAGGCCAACAATGATGTGTCTTAGAGCAACACTTAAAAACTGTTCGATCATTAAAACATACTTTTCATAACTTTCATCTTTATGACATATGGTTACATGTTCAGTAGGTTACAGAAAATATACTACTGGTAATTACATGTATTGATGAATTATTTATCTGCCATTTGTTCTTACCTTTGTTGCTCAATTCATACTGTGACTTCATCAGCATAAGTAAGTGTAATTTGTTTTACCCCAAATCATTGTTCAAATTAGAGGGAAAAAAAGTGAATAATAACTGGCAATGACCATCTGCATTGTTTATCGCAG